ACCCAATAATAATCGAACAATTCTGATCATATTTAAATGATTGTGAATAGAACTTGAAATTAATTCAGATTGTATTCTCATGGAAGGAAAAAAAAGATAAATTGATAATCAGATTTTAAATATATTGTTAATTTACTTTGAAAAACTTATCTAAACATTCAAACATTTAGAATATTAAACAGTTCACTCCTGAATCAGTAGAAATCAATGTACTCATAGTATTCATTCCATGCGCCTAAACAAATTCATTCTAAAATTTGGCTGCTTGGCTAGCGAAAATCCGCCTAATTAGATGAGCGGCCAGGTAAAAGGTAGCTAACAACAACAAGCTGAACAACAGCAGTTGCGTCGGCAGCGGCAGCAGCAGCAGCAGTGAAAACAACTTGAAATACTCAAATTGGTAATCGAATTTGACTCGTTAAATGATCAGAGCCAAAGTAGACTCTAAATGTGTACACAAAATGAAAAGGCCAAAAAAGGGGAAAAAGACACACGGACACACACACACACACACACCGACATACACACAGTCACACACACTTTGCTTTGCTTTTTAACATGCCTTTTGCGTCTTCTTCTTCATCATTTTTTTCTTTTTCTACCTCATTTCTTTTCCAAACGTTTTTCATTTGCCGCTGCTTTGCCTATTGTTCGAGGGAAAAATCTTGTGTGTGAGGGAAATGTGAAAAACAAATACAGTTCGAAAGATTCGTTTTTTCTTGTTTTTTATTTTTCGTATTGAAATATACGAGTTCTGATTTTCTACCTGTTCTACAAGCAAAATAGAGAATATCGGTATTTAATCTCTCAATAGGCCAGGTGAACTGTGAGTTATCGCTATCTGGCCGGGCGATACGTGAGTCGCCTGCATAAAGTGTCGCCAAACGTGCGGATTCCTGGAAAATCTGGCGACAAGACCTGCAAGTATTTTTAAGCGCCTCTCATCTAGGTGTTTCACGTATTTTCCAAATAGACTTTTCTGTTTTTTGTTTTTGGGACGTAATAAAAAGTAGTCGAGGCGAAATACTCAGGAAGTGTTTGCTGTCGTGCTCGGATTTCTTAATGCTTCTTGCCATTAAAGTGCATTAAAAATTCCACTGAAAAATTATATGAAATAATTACGGAAAGTCGCTCTAAACGGTTTGAGTGTGTGCGTGGTGTGTTTAGGCACTTATAAACCAATTTTCGTGCTGCTGTTAAAAGCCAAAATAGCTTGACATTAAGGCAGGCTAAGACTCTAACTGAAAATGGCCCTAACATTTGGGCCAACAATGGGTTGCAGTGAGTCGAACGGGGAATTCATTTTTTTTTTTCGTTTCTTATTTTTTATGGCCCTTAATTTACACTTCCTTCCAAATGCGCTGCGTAGGGCGAGGGAGAGCAAGAGAGAGATAGAAATAGAAAGAGAAGATCGCCGAGCTCTCTCAACTGTCGGCAACGACAAAAGGCGAGCGGCGAGCGGCAAGCGGCAGCAAAAGCGAACAAAATATAATTTTCATTTCCCATTTTCATTCCACGCTTCTCACAGCCGCAGCTGCTGCGTGGCTGCGCTGCTCTGCATATTTTTGCCTTATCAGCGCCGGCGGCACTTGGATGCAGCAGCCTAACGGTAGAGTGTCTCCTCTGCAAACGTTTTCTTTTATGTTTTTTTTTTAATTAATTTTTTTTTTCATTTTCTGTTTGTTTTTTATGTATTTATCTTTCTGCGCCAGTGCGTCAGATGCGGGTGATTGCCATTGCTGTGACGTATGCGGCGCGACATAACGAACGACTTAGGCAACGAACTTGCAAAACGCAATTTAATGCGCTTTAAATTGCTGAAGACTTCGGTCCGCCCCTCCCGGGTTGGCGTCTAATTGCTGCAATGCTTAGCGCTATACAAACAAAAATTACGCTTTAATCTATTTTTGCCCGGCTCCGCGTACACACAGCCATACTCACACATACACACACACACACACACGCACAACGTGCATCAGGCAACGGGCGTGCAGCTGCCCCCTTTTTGCAGACCACACGCGCGCCTCGTGCGCCGTGCCAAGAAAATTACATTAGACGTGGAAGCGACCGTTGCGAACGTTTCGCAGTTCGCTGTTCGGGAAAACGCAACGCACCAGACGCCAGTTCTCAGTTCTCAGTTCCCAGTCTCTAGTATCCCCTCAGTCATGTCCCCGGCCATTGTGCCAGGCCCATGCTGGCCACCTGCTCCTGCGGCTGCTGCAAACACCCGCTCAGCTCTTGCCCTCAGCTCGGCGCTAATTTCTTTGTTGAGTCTCATGCGAGTTGGCACCGCAGACATACGAATGTGCTAGCCTGTGATTAAGTTTGGAATATGTTCATCGTTTTGTGCAAGTGTCTTCATCCGCCAACAGTCCAGAGATTGGGTAGCTCTGCTGCTTGGCTATTTGCTGGATTGTGATTGAGTTTGTGCCTGCGGCTGCTCGCTCAGTCGTGCCCGCTACGCATAAATATTATCTCTATGGGTATTAAAAGCATAAAACAATAAATAAATAAACATTGTTCATTTCAGAGCAGTCACAGTTCGCCAGACACTGCAAATAGGTCGGAGTAGGGTATGTTCTGTAAAGTGCCGCAGATGACAGGCAATGAGTAGAGAGTTGCATTGTCTAAAATTTAGTTGTTGCCTGAATATAAATATATCCTATTCATATATTATTTAAATCCTTGGAACTAATCAATGGTTTCTTTACAGTTAGCTTTGACAAAAGACTTAGGCAACGAACTTAAGTTTGGCATTCCTGAAGTTAACTTATGAAAGGCTTAGGCAATGAACTTGTATTAGCAGTCATGGCTGTAACTGACGTAAATGACTTAAGCAACGAACTTGCATTTGCTATCATAAACCTAACCGAAACGAATGACTTAGGCAACGAACTTGCACGTGCAATGCTCTTTTTATAGAAATCGCAGACTGTGTAGAGAACATACGTTCTCCACCATAATTAGCAGACGACTAGTTATATTTTTTACTTCGATATTTTCCACTTTATTTATTTATTTTCTTTTTAATTAACTAAAAATAGTTAAGGACCAACACATAATACTTTTTATACATGCCCAAAGAAACTCATTAGAAATATATATAAAAAATTCGACAGGCCTTTAAATGACCATCAGAATCTCTCACGAATCTCCAAAGAATTTTTTCGCATTGTCGATACCTCTCTCTTTCTCTTTTAGTGGTATTTAGAAAATCTAGTCTAATTATAGAGCTGCTTAGCCTAAAGCAGATATCAGAAAACGTGTCTGTAGTAAAAATATATTTTTAAATTGGTTGAATCTTATCTCATGACTATCGAGCGTATCTAGTGGTCGAGCAAGCAGCTGGTCTATATTTGATTTGGTTTTCATTGGAACTCAGTTTTACGATACACATGTGCCGTCAGTGTGTATATTGCACGCTGAATGAGATATCAAATGAGGCCCAAAGTCGTAAAGCTGGGCCCACTAACACAGTCGATTGAGTTGTTGGGGTGTAACAAGTGAATCTGTGGCTTCGGTGTGGCAAGGCTTCGTATTTGTCTCTCGTGCCGATGCCAGTTTGCATTTGCATTTGTCGATCGAGCCCATAAACACTCACTCTACATAATTTGATTGTCTTAATGGGGCCAGCATTCTTTATAGAGCCAAACTAGTCGTCTACAACATCATTTCCAATGCGATAAATATAACGAAACGTTACAAACTTATTTTGAAGTTCGATTGGGCAACTTATATATAGCTGCCTATGGTTTATGGCAGCGGGCGCGGGTTAACGAACGCTACACGAGATTAGCTTCTTCGTTGGCTGATTTTGCACTTTTATGACAGCCATAAAATATGCCAAACAATGGCTTAGGCACTCACCGGCCATGACAATTATTGCTAAATGCTTTCGGCTACCCGAAAAAACAAAGCAAGAAAATAAATATTGAAAAAACACACACACACATTTATAAACACGATCTATAATGCGATACTTGCTTTTGCTTCCGGTTCTCGCCATTCTATTAATACCCCATATAAATTTGTGAAAGATCTCTCTGGGCGCAGTGCCATAAGCCGCAATGCAGACTCCATGCCGTGGGGCAGGTGCAGATCACACACACACACACACACCCATACAGTTTCGAGATTAGAAGACACAGACATGACAACCTGCAGCCCATTCGGATTCGGATTCAGATTCCAGTTCAGCCCCAGCACCAGCCTCAGCCTCGAGTCGCCAGGTTCAGGTTCAGTTTGGGGCTCGGTTTTGCGGGCAATCTGTAATCTGTGTGAGCGTCATTTCATATTTTCTTACACTTTGGAAATTGGTGCACTTGACGTCTTGACGGACGCTGTTTCCCGATAAGATATGATAAATAATATAATAAATGCCGCTAATTAATGGCACTTAATATGGAAAAGAGGCAAAAGCGAAGCTAAATATAGACGAATCGACTATCTGGCTAGCTGTTTTAGCAACTCCAACTGTTTTCCTGTCAACTGAAGCATTTTCATTAACAGCTAATTGGTTAATATATCGATAGCTTTAGTTTTTATTGCACATAATAAGTGATTTATAAATTTCGATATGTAATTATAAGAGTAAGAAAAACAAATTAATAGAAAGATGATTATCGTTGGCGCACATAAAATTACACTTGATCGATAATATTCAATAAATTAGCATGAAATATACCATCAAGCGGATTTGATTGATTTTCAGACAAAAGAAAATAAAAGTTTAATTAATTTTACTTTTAAATATAAATATTTAATTGATATAAATATCGATTTCACTGCTAAACTGTGACTAATGTGGCATATTCCCATATATCATATCAGCATTTTCAAAAATATTTTTACAAATGGCTAAAATGTCTGCAAGCTAAAAACTGCAAAGATTCCACGAGAAACATTTATAGATAACTGTATTGTTAGTTGACCCCCTTTTTTTTGAGTACTTGTGTTTGAAAGCGAAATTCATAGCGCGAAATTGTAATGAAAATGAAAAACGCTTTCGTGCTTTGTTGGTCAGCTGAAGCTGAAATTGTTCAGGTGTTGGGGCGTTGGGGCGTTCACAATTGCCTTCACTTGCATTTTCGCACTTTTTGTTGCAGAAAATCCCATGCGAACTTCACGCTTTCTTAAATATCTAACTGTCTGCATATTTTCTGCTGGCTTTTGTCTGCTTGGCTGATTGCGAACAACTCGCCACCACACCACACAGCATTTTATAGACGATATGCAAGACGCAGATTTGCATCTAAATGAGCTCGATTAATATGCAAACAATTAAAATGTTACTGCTGTTATGGCTTAGGCCACAAGTCCGAGGCGACGTTGTACGGCAATTAGAAAGCCATTAGAAATAACTTATTAACAGCCCCCACAACTCAGTTCACCGCCGTCTCCCGCCAGTTCTATACCCTTGAGTGAGCGCTGGCTCCGTGAGCCAAGCTCCATCTCGCACATTTCATAAATTACTCAACATTTAATTAAACACGCTCTAAAGCGCTACTTACCACCTACTTAGCCGCCGGTTTTAGACAACAATTTTGCATAATTTGAAGTTAAATCATGAATACCCAACCACAACAACGGCAACAACAACAACAACAACAACAACGACAGCAGACAACTGCAGACAAGTTTGATTTTCTGTCTCGTTTCGTTGGCCTTTTTGCAGCGCTCAGCCATATTATCAGTTAATTTTTTCTTTTATGCCCTTTGAATGGGCATTATAAATGTGTTAAGCAATGTGTTACCCATTGCAAAAGACAGCTACCAAGCCATAATTCATATACATTATGATACGAGGAAAAGGTGAGCCGCTGCAGCCATATTTGTTTACGTCAACCCATGGGAAGTCGGATTTCTGTGTGCTGCTGGCCTAATGAAGTTTTGGTATACTCTTTCCTCTTAGTAGCTTTTGAAAGTGTTAAGAGTAGAGCCCAGTATGATAAAATCTTTAATACTAACATCTGCAATTATAGACCTATTCATGTCATCAGCATTGTTTCTATAATTTTCAAATCAAAGTTTTTTTAATGGAAACCTAAATATGAGTTCATCTACCTTGATCAGCAACGTTTATATGTAAAAGTTAATAGATTTGGAGTCTACTGTTTGGCTATTAGGATCTGATTACAATATTTTACATCTGCCATAAATCTGTCAGAGTATTTAGCCAGAGTCAGCCCCAAAGCTGGTCTTCTCTGTTCTTTTTTCCTTTTATAAGCAATTAATGAGAGCGCCTGGACAGCAGAAACATGTGTATTGCTCATGTAAAGTATCCGCGGCTGGCTCTGTGATTTAAAGCGTCTTCCTGCCTGACAGCAGCTGGACAGGCGTCGTCTGCTCGTCTCCTTGGCTGCCCCAAATTGCGGCGCCACGGTCGGCTGATCAGCGCCGCGCCGCGCGTTTTCGTCAGTTTATTTGATATCAAAGCCAAATGCTGTGCACAGCAGTCAGCAGAGAGGCATTCGCTGACTGTCGATAGCTCTGGGCTGGCTGGCTTTCCTTCCCTTTAGTCAGTGCATTGGAGTTTCTTTCGTTTTCTGTTTCAGCTTTTTGCCCCTCCTTTGGCTAATTAGTTGAGCCGTAAAGTTTATGCGCATTTCGTTATTGTTTTTTATATGTATACCATTCTGATGGAATTATGGTTATATAGTATTTGTTGTAACTTTTATTTGCCATTAAGTAGATTTTATTAACGCCAGCCTTTACGAGCGCAAAAGCTCGTAAAATGCCAACAACGAAAATTGAGGAAAAAAGGCAGAGAAAGACGGCCCCAGGAGGAGTAATAATTCTTTTTCTTTTCTTCTTTAATGCTCAAGATATGAGCTGACGGTCAGACAAATCAAAATCAAAATCAAAATCAAAACTACAATGTGTCTAATTACAAGTTTGTCATTTGATATTAGACACAGTTGCGTGGCTCTGGCGCGGCTGCAGTCGGAGCCACACACACGCAACCATTTGGTGGTGCGCTTTCTAATGTGTTTGGGTATTAGCAGTTCATCTAAACTTATGACAAGTGCAAATCAAACTGACGTTTCCGCAGTAGCCGCTGCAGCAGCCTGTCTCCCAATCTCCCCATCTCCCCATCTCCACAGAGGTAATTTGCGTATGCGCCCGTCAAGTGTCAGGCTGGGGCCTCAAACCAGAACCGGGGGTTCATGTCTAATGCAGCTTTTCTTATTTGCACAAATAACTCTTCTTGCTGCACCGGTTCGCATTTGCAGTTTATTAAATTACATTTTCATGCCATGGCTGCGTTTCCAGGAAGGTACTGACCATCATTATTAAGTTATTAGACGGCCTGATGGACACGCAGCCTGTCCCATACCCTACCTTATATCAATCAGGCATTCAAGCTGTCACATAATTGAGCTCTGCTGCAGCAGCAGCAACTGCTCGCATGCAATCTTCTATCGTAGTCCATTTATTAATTCACTTTTAATTGCTCGCTTTCTTTTTGATCCTGTTGTGATCATCGCGCGATGAGCTGGCACTTTTTATTCTCTTTCGGAGGGTGCCCCAAAACTAAGAGATACATATCTATCGCGAGGAACATCACGAACCCAAATACCATGTGAAACTCACAAATTTATTTTCTCTTATTTGGGCATTTCCAATTGCTGCGGGCTGCTAAAACAATCTAATAATCATAAATATACCCTGTATTCGAAAGGAGTTGCCACTGAGCCGAGGTGGGCTTTGACACATGAAAATCATTGTTGATCTCTAGATCTAGAAAAGTTTTCTTCTTTTAACTTTAAGACAAACTGAAAAAAGTTTACTCCATTGAAAAATAAAAATATGAACAATTTTTGTTGACAGTAGATTGCAGGAAAATATTATTATTATATTATTTTCTATTAGAAAGATTAATAATAATATAATTTTCATACTCAATCATGAATTTTTTCAGTGCTTTAAATTTGTGATAATTATTATTTCAGCTCATTTTGTTTCTAAGCAAGGGTAACTCTTAGCTGAGCATATCCGTTGAAAGTATTTCAAGTTCTTTCATTTTCCTTTTCCTTTTCTGTTTTTGCTTATCGCGCGAGAAAAATCTCCAAAATTGCAGCAGCCACCGCGTACCTTGATGTTGTTGTTGTCTTCTTCTGTGTTTTTTGTTTTCTTTTTTTTTTTTTTGGGGCCACTCGAATGTGCCGAATATGAAAAGTGTTAGTCATGGTCTTGTTAACTAAATTGTTGACCACGAAATTTGCTGGCCAGCACTCATTCGCCTCTACCAAACCCCCTCTCTCTCGCTCTCTCTCTCTCTCTTCATCTTTTCATCCATGTCATTTGGGCTATCTTTCTGCTGTTCTGTGGTTGATCCCATCCCATCCAATCCAATTTCAACACAATAAAAATTTCAGTTTTGTATTTTTGTTGTTTGATTCTTAAATGTTTTTGTATGCATGTGTGTGCCATCAGTTTTAGAACGTCAATATTTAAGCTGAAAGACCAGCATAGAGCCAAGCAGAACCAAGACCCTTTTAGCCTTTGAACCTTTTGGCTACGCAGGTAGTTTTCAGTTATTGCCTGCCGCTGGAGCTTCTTTTGTCTCGTCTTCGTTCGCGTTTAGTTTCGGTTTTTGTATCCATTCTGCGGCATTTTCCTCGTTTGAATTTCAAATAGCGCTGCGGCAGATGCCTGGACAATGCGTAAGCCGCTCGCGGCCCATCAGCGTGATGAGCTTCATCAGTCGGCTAAGCGCGTTAGTGCAGTTATCAGTCTATTAGTTGCCATCTATCAAGTGGCCCCAAGAACAAGACGTCACCAGGCAGGCCAGCGAGCTCCGAGCGTGGGCAGGGATTACTTGGTCACGTTTGTGCTCTATGTTTATGGCGTACGATTTGTCTATAAAAAATATAAATGTGGAACTGTTTATTAGGAGTTGCCTAAACATAGTTTGGGGCGCAGCTGACTTAAATATACCCTGATCATGTCTTAAATTATGCATCTAATCAATCTATTTTCTGCTCTTTTTGCAGCACAAAATGGCGCCTGAAGCTGGACGTAGCGTAGGGCATACGCAGTCGACGATATGCGAATAACGCCATGTTGGGTCTTTCAGCATACCCAAGCGAGAGGAAGAAACGAAACTGCAAAAGCAACAGCAAGCCCCAAAAACCAAACGAAATGTTCAAGAGTGCGAGATCGACGGCGAGTTCTGTGAACTCCAACAACAGCAGCAACAGCAACAGAGAGAGCAAAGCAAACACAAGACGGCGTGCCACGCCCAGAACGCCCCAGAAAGATTACACAATGTTTCACAGATGCCGGCGACGCAGCCGGCACAGCTCAAGGTCAACATTACCCGCCACAAACACGAACAGCTGCTGCCGGAGCTGGACTGGTCTGCTCTGGCTGCTCCTAGTCTCCTGCAGCCTGTTTGGGAGCTGCGCGGCGGGCACGTCGGACAAGGAGCGCGAACGACGTCTGGAGGTCTTTGAGGGCGTGCCCATTGACCATCAGATCGGCTATATCGGTGACTTTGACAGCATTGACAGCGGCCCGCCCTACATCATTGTGGCGGAGGCGGGCGTGGAAACGGATTTGGCCATCGATCGCACCACGGGCGAAATACGCACCAAGGTGCGCCTGGACAGAGAGACGCGGGCATCGTACAGCCTCGTTGCCATACCTCTGAGTGGCCTGAATGTACGCGTCGTGGTGACGGTGCGGGATGAGAACGACAATGCGCCCACGTTCCCGCAGCCGGCCATGCACATCGAGTTCCCGGAGAATACGCCGCGCGAGGTGAAGCGCACGCTGCTGCCGGCTCGAGACTTGGATCTGGAGCCGTACAATACGCAGCGCTACAACATTGTGTCCGGCAATGTGAACGACGCCTTTCGCCTGTCCTCGCACAGGGAACGGGACGGCGTGCTGTACCTCGATCTGCAGATCAGCGGATTTTTGGATAGGGAGACAACGCCCGCGTATAGTCTGCTGATAGAGGCTCTCGACGGTGGGACACCGCCTCTGAGAGGCCTGATGACCGTCAATATAACCATACAGGATGTCAACGACAATCAGCCCATCTTCAATCAGAGTCGTTACTTCGCCACGGTGCCGGAGAACGCCACAGTGGGCACCAGTGTGCTCCAGGTGTACGCCTCCGATACGGACGCCGATGAGAACGGTCTGGTGGAGTATGCCATCAATCGCAGGCAGAGCGATAAGGAGCAAATGTTTCGCATTGATGCGCGCACGGGTGCCGTCTATATCAACAAGCCGCTTGACTTTGAGACCAAGGAGCTGCACGAGCTGGTCGTCGTGGCCAAGGATCATGGCGAGCAGCCGCTGGAGACGACAGCCTTCGTATCGATCAGAGTCACAGACGTCAACGACAATCAGCCAACGATCAATGTGATCTTTCTAAGCGAGGACGCCTCGCCCAAGATCTCGGAGTCGGCACAGCCGGGCGAGTTTGTCGCTCGCATCTCCGTGCACGATCCGGACTCGAAGACGGAGTACGCCAATGTGAATGTCTCGCTGAATGGAGGTGATGGCCACTTCGCCTTGACCACGCGTGACAACAGCATCTACTTGGTCATTGTCAATCTGCCGCTGGATCGCGAGGCCACCTCCAACTACACATTGAGCGTTGTGGCCACGGATAAAGGCACGCCGCCCTTGCATGCCACCAAGTCCATCTTTCTGCGTGTCACGGATGTCAACGACAATGCGCCCGAGTTCGAGCAGGATGTGTACCATGCGAACGTCATGGAGGTCGCCGATCCGGGCACCTCGGTGCTGCAGGTCATGGCCCGCGATCGGGACGAAGGCAGCAATGCGGCATTGAGCTATGCCCTGGCCGATACGCCCGATACGCACGCTCAGTGGTTCCAGATCGATGCTCAGACGGGCCTGATAACCACGCGCTCGCACATTGACTGCGAAACGGAGCCGGTGCCGCAGCTGACGGTGATCGCTCGCGATGGCGGACAGCCGCCACTCAGCTCCACGGCGACGGTGCTCGTCACCATACACGATGTCAACGACAACGAACCGATCTTCGATCAGAGCTTCTACAATGTCTCCGTTGCCGAGAACGAGCCCGTGGGCAGGTGTATACTCAAGGTGAGTCATTAAGCCCCAACCTCGTAGTGAGGAAAGAAAAAACTGAACAGGGGAACATACATATGTCTGTATCTGGCTCTATCCATCTATCTATCCATCCAGCAGCTTTTGTTTGACCCATTTATTTATTTTTTTTTTTTGTTTGGTATTTTTCTTGTTTTATTTTTTGACTCGCCTCTCCAAGTGACTCGAATCACACAACGAGCGTCACTTATGGATTTTCTACGTACTTGAAACCCAAACTAATCTCATGCATCAATTACCCAGTCGCAGTCGAAAACTTTCAGCCCGATCACTCAGTCATCGACATCCGTAGGGAATTGCGACGGCTGTCGTTTCGGCTACTTGCCGCTTGCCGCTTGCCGCTTGCCGCTTGCCGCTTGCCTTTTTCCTATTGCCCCGTAGACACATTTGTGCACAGCTTGTTATGCACATACTCTAACCGAAGGCGGGGCTCTATGGGCTATTTGTCTAGGCTTGGCGAGATCTGGGCAAGAGATAATAGAAGCTTAGATTTGGGTGGCATTACAATTGATTGGCAATAAGACTAAGCAAGAATTATCCAGGAGCAAGACTTTATAATTTTCCATTTTTCATTCCATTATCAAGAAACGATATACACTTTATTCAGGCTCAGTCCAGAATCCTATGAACTATTTTCCTCAAATATTAATCCACTTAATTTTAGTTAATAGGCCATAATGATTCTTTAGTATCCAGAGATCGGCAAATCACACGATAGTCGCAATAATCGATCAAAGATCGCTTCCAATCATAGTCTATCTATCGATAAATTACGATAATTGACTTGTGATTGTATCAATGTTTGCCTTCAACTTTGTATTGTTTTCATAGGCTATCGGTACTTGACATCTAGAGTACATCCGCTTCGGTGCTTGGCTGTCGGCATTTCCTCCTTGTTAACTGTTTTAGGCAGTCAAATTCCAAATCGTTTCCACCATGTTCAGGCATCCCCCATCCCTCGTCCCCCCTCCCAGTGCCTGTTGTGCCCCCGTTACCATCCGCACCCGAAGCAATGCAGGCTTCTCACTCTTTTGTAGTTAATCCATTCATCATCGGGTAATTACATTTTTATAACATTTTTCCCCGCTCACAAAACAAATGGGCAACCAAAAAGAAACAACTGAAACAACAACAGCAACAACAACAACAACAGCAGCAGCAGCAGCAACATGAGGCCGGGGCCTAAAACCGTTTCTAGCGCTTAACGAAGGCATTTTGTTCGCTGTTGTTGGTCGGCTCTCAGTCTCCGGCTCTCCGTCTCAGACTCTTGTCTTTCTATCACCCATTTTTTTTCTTCTTTCACACACACACACACACATAGATGAATGCGACGTCGACAAGATTTTGTTCGGACTATCAAATGTGACCTCTCTTGTCGCTTGTCTCTCGCTGTGCGCCAGTCGCAAATAGCAGAAAGAAGCCCATGAAATCAAAATGAGAGGAAAAAAAAACTACTAAAAATGTTGCTTAGATTCGGAAAAAAACTTCTCAGCAATTTAATAACACGAGTTTCAACTCAACGCAACAACACAAACAATTTATATATACGGGTAACATAAAACATAAAAATAGCATTGATTACTATATTTTACATAAAGTTTTCAGTGTTGCAAAAGGTTTTTGTTAGTGTGAGCAAGAATTAATTTTGTTTCGATTTTTATTAGTTTATCTAAATATTTATCAAAAGTCTACAATGTTGCATAACGGCTTGTAATTTGTGATTAGTATCAGTTTCATAGATTTCACTCATTTACTCATTTATAGTTTTCAAATCTTAAGACAAAATTTACTGTTCACATAAACATAAATAACTGAGCTTCCAGTGTAGTTAAGCGCTGTGTAAGTGGTTTTAGTGTCAGCTACTTGGCAATATTTTCGTATTTCCTGTGATTAGTGAGTTAAAAATGTTCGGTTTCACTGCTGAGGACCAATTACAGGGCGCCCTCGTAGACATTTCCGCAAATCAAATCAAATCGAATCAAATCATATCTCATCAAAGAAAGAGAAACGGCAAATGCGAGAGATGAACGAAATTAAAGTCTACGATGGGCCCAAACAGCAACAACAATTT